GTTTTTTGAGACAGGTTCTCTCTCTACCACCCAGGTGGGAGTGCAGTAGCACCATCATGGCTGACTCCACAATGACCTCAGCCTCCCCGGCTCAAGTGATCCTCACACCTTGGCCTCCCAAGAAGCTGTAACTAAAGGCATGTGCAACCATGCCCGCTTAATTTTTGTATTTTTTGTAGAGACAGAGTTTTGCCCTGTTGTCCAGGCTGGTCTGAAACTCCTGAGCTCAAGAGATCTGCCATGTGTCAGTCTCCAAAGTGCTGGGATTACAGGTGTGAGCCAGGCCCTAAGTAGGTGTAAAAATCCCTATTTAACATAAGAAATTGAGGCACCATGAAGATAAAGCCACCAGTCTAAGAACTGGGAGAACTGGAAGCCCCTCCCCCCATCCCTTAGATTTGAGCTCAGTATACCAAGCCAAGGGGGCAGGGAAGGCTAACTTAATGTTAGCTGGCAGGCTGGTATAAGTTTGCAGCAGAATTGTCATTGATTTATGGGGAAAAGTAAGGACATATGACATGGAGTTTCACTCTTGTAGCCCAGCTGGAGTGCAACCGCACCATCTCCGCTTACTGCAACCTTTGCCTCCTGGGTTCAAGTGATTCTCCTGTTTCTGCCTTCAGAGTAGCTGGTATTACAGGTGCACAACACCATGCCCAGCTAATTTTATATTTTTAGTAGAGACAGGGTTTCATCATGTTAGCCAGGCTGGTCTGAAAGTAAAGTTTTCAATATAACTAAATGATTCCATTTAAAGATCTTTTATTCTGGCCAGGTGCAGTGCCTCATGCCTGTAATCCTTGCACTTTAGGAAGCCAAGGTGGGCAGGTCACGAGGTCAAGAGATCAAGACCATCCTGGCTAACATGGTGAAACACCGTCTCTACTACAAATACAAAAATTAGCTGGGTATGGTGGCATACACCTGTAGTCCCAACTACTCAGGATGCTAAGGCAGGAGAATCACTGGAACCAAGGAGAAGGAGGTTGCAGTGAGCTAAGATGGATAGTCCCACCACACTCCAACCTGGTCACAGAGCAAGACTCTATCTCAAAAAAATAAAAAATAAAATTTATTGGGAGAGATTCTGTTCTTTCCAATTGTTTGAGTAAAAATATCCTTTTGTTGGCCGGGCGCGGTGGCTCAAGCCCGTAATCCCAGCACTTTGGGAGGCCGAGGCAGGTGGATCACGAGGTCAAGAGATCGAGACCATCTCCTGGTCAACATGGTGAAACCCCGTCTCTACTAAAAATACAAAAAATTAGCTGGGCATGGTGGTGCGTGCCTATAATCCCAGCTACTCAGGAGGCTGAGGCAGGAGAATTGCCTGAACCCAGGAGGCAGAGGTTGCGGTGAGCCAAGATCGCGCCATTGCACTCCAGCCTGGGTAACATGAGTGAAACTCTGTCTCAAAAAAAAAAAAAAAAAAACAAATAAAAAAAAAAAATCCTTTTGTTAAATGAAATGGTGACAGGAGACAGTGGTGTGATATTAGTTTTTGTTGGCTGTACCTGGTAGAAATAAAAAATCAGGCCAGGCACGGTGGCTTACGAGTTCAAGAGATCGAGACCGTCCTGGCCAACATGGTGAAACCCTGTCTCTACTAAAAATACAAAAATTAGCCGGGAGTGGTGGCACATACCTGTAATCCCAGCTACTCAGGAAGCCGACACAGGAGAATCACTTGAACCCAGGAGGCAGAGTCTGCAGTGGGCTGAGATCCCACCACTGCACTCTAGCCTGGTGAGAGAGCCAGACTCCGTCTCAAAAAAAAAAAAAAAAAAAAAAAAAAAAAATTTCTATTGTAGCCTCCTAATTTTGGGAAAATATTTCTTTAGAAATCTAAAAGTCTGGCCGTTTCCATCATTATGGCCCCAAAATAATAGAGGACTTTACACAAAGATAACACATGCCCCTCAAGATTCTGTCTTTAACCTCTATCTTATTCTGTTTGGATTAGGACTTTTGGGGATTGTGAAATAAGAATAAAGTTGAGTATAAGCAATCCAAAACCATGTGCTGACACTGGATCCTGGAAGAGGGCTTTCTTCAGAATCTTTTTCATCTGTTAACTTTTCTCTGGGCTCAAACCTTTTTTTTTTTTTTTTTTTTTTTAAGACAGGGTTTCACTCTTGTTGACCAGGGATCACAGGTGTGAGCCAGGTGGCTTCAAACTTTGAGACAGAATTTCGCTCTTGTTGTCCAGACTGGAGTGCAATGGCGTGATCTTGGCTCACTACAACCTCCATCTCCCGGGTTCAAGCAATTCTCCTGCCTCAGCCTCCCAAGTAGCTGGGATTATAGGCATGCACCACCATGCCCTCTCACCTAATTTTGTATTTTTAGTAGAGATGGGCTTTCTCCATGTTGGTCAGGCTGGTCTTGAACTCCTGACCTCAGGTGATCCACCCGCCTCGGCCTCCCAAAGTGCTGGTATTACAAGCATGAGCCACCGCGCCCGGCCTGGGCTCAAACTTTCTTTTCCTAAGAGTCACATCTTTGAGTAGAACTGCTACATGGTAATCACTACTCAAAAGAAACTTGAGGTGTCCAATAATCAGCTTTCATTTAAAGTCTCTTTCCACTAGACAAAATAAAAACTTTCAGTGTTTTGTCTACCTACTTCCAAAAGAAAATGTCTGTACATATACATGTGATTTACATCAGCCTGTTTATAAACTATTTCCAAAATAAGTTGACCTGTAAATTCATTTATTAAATGAGTAGTTTATAAACTACTTGATTTTTACGAGTAGTTTATAAACTACTTGATTTTTGCAAGTAGTTTATTAACAGGCTGATCAAACTGAACAAATTTCTTAAACTAATTTCACTGTATAGATAGCAAGTAAGTTATTTGCTCTTCTTATTAGCATATCTTATTTTTACCTATCCTTTAACATGCATCTAAGTTAAACTGTTTTATGTCCACAGCTACACATGAAACAACGCTTTCAGTCACAACATAATAAATTCACATTTAAAACTATAAAGAGATCCAGTTACCTATAGTCTTACATGTACTTATATATACTTTTAATATACTTCTTGATGTTTTATGATGCACAAACATGCAGCTCTTGCAGGATATATAACTATGAGAATATTTAGAGTGTATGCATATTAAACAGTTCAAAACTCTCTTTAAAGAAAGTCACTTTTAAGAACTTAAGCAAACAGTAAAGTACTCCTTCCATGTCCCAATGTTAAAAGTTCCATTTATTTTAGACAACTTGTTTCAAAAAAAAATTAAAATTGATCATAATTCTGCTTAAATTCCATATTAACCTAGGACCAAAGGTTATTTTTAGTTCTTCTTGTTTCTTAAATACTTGAAATGTGCTGCTGCATAATGTTTTCCTTATATATTTATTCATTCAACTAACTTCAGGTGGAAGGTACTTAGGAGTTTAAAAGTCCTTTCCCAAAGTGGAAATAACAAAAATTTTGCATAAAAGACACTCAGTGTTTCTCAAAGGGTATCTGAGAGTCTGTCAGCCTCTTAACTTGGTTCAGAATAACCACCAACAACAAATGTGAGCTTTTTGTCACATCTATGTATTTTCCCCTGTAAACTAATACCTACATTTTAATTGATTTTCAAAATGTTTCATTTGGCCATGTGATAATTATTTCCCCTGTAAAAAGCTACAGGATTTTGGTTTAAGAGCAAATGAGATAGAGTATCTGGTCCATGAGAAAGCTAAGTGGAAAGATCCGCACCCTGAAGTTTGTAATAACCAATAGCAAGACAAACTCCAATGCTACCTTGTTCATGTAATCAACAATATGTGAGTCGAAATAAACTAGTGAGCTATATGTTTCCGTCTACATACCAATTTACCAATCAACAGGAGGGGAAGAAATTGCTCAAATGTGACTACTGTTAATAAACATGTTAACAAACATTTAAATATTAGTCTCTATTAAAAATCGTAACCTATCAATTCTGAAATCATTCCTTCAACTTGTTGTTTTTAATACCCCCCCAAAACAAAAAAAACAGCAGCCACCTTTAAAATGTAAATTCCTCCCTTTTTCAAAGTAACTTGCCTAGGAAAATTTAATGCGTTAAAATAAAACATAACAGACCAATTACAACATTAAAAAAAACTAAAATGATCAGTAACACAAACCAATCGCTCAAGTTTAGCAAAGCGTGTGCTTTTAATCTGTTGTGGGTATCCTATTACATTAACCAACAACGTTTAAAAGTCATCCCAATACCTAAACCACCACCATACACATAACATACTTGTCCCTTTACTCCAATGAAGCTTAAACTCAAACCCAAACTCAGACCACTTCCTCCTCCCGGCACAATGTAATATAAGAGGGGAAACCCAAGAAAACAAATATGTTAAGTGTCAGTATCTTCTTTCAGAGGAGGGTCAAATTCATATTTGCCCGCAAATGTCACCGTCCCAGTAAGTCTACAAATTCTCACTAGCGCTGGAGTACACAGTCCTGACCGCGGAAACACCTGTTCTAACACCAGGAAGACACGAGGAAACGCAAGCCCCCTGAGTCCGCGCCGGCCCCAAAGCCTCGACTGCAGCGATGGGGCAACAAGAGGTGGCCGCTGGCCTCGCGGGTGCGGCGGACAGGGTCCCATACACCCTGCCCGCCTCCTAAGAACCAGAAAACCTGTCAGGCCAGCCGAGACCCACCCTCCTCAGACCCTCCTGCTCCAGCACGGCACTGCTCCCGCCGGCCCGACCGCATCCCGACCATCCCGGCCTCCCAGGTGTACTCTGTCACCTCATCCCTCCCTGGCGGCCTCGAGGCCCCGCCACCTTCGCAGCGCGGTCTGGGCTTGGGCCGCCCCTGGGGCAGGAGCGCCCAGCCGCAGCCCCCCCCCCCCCCCCGGCCCCGCCCCTTCCCCCGCGGCCCGGTCCCCACCGCCCCCAGGCCCGAGCTCCAGCCTCGCGCTTCCCACCCCCCAGCCTCCGCCCTCGCCCCGCGCGGCCGCTCCCGGCCCACTCCCCAACGCCGGCTACCTGGAGGCAAAGGCGGCGGAGCACTTCACCTAGGGCTCTAGGTTGCAGAGGGCCTGGTGCTCGAGGTCCCGCTCCTTCTCCCGCTCCACATGGTCGGCGTAGATGGACAGCAGGATCCGCACACGGCGTACCAGGCTACCAGCTCCCACGGCGGCACCGACACTCTCAGCAGGACGGGCGCCGCCATCTTCCCTCCTCTGCTGCCACCGCCTCCTTCCGCCTCCACCTCAGCCGCTGCCGCCCGTCGGGGCCCGACCCAGCCGCCACCGACGCCGCCGTCACCGCCGCCGCGCGCCAAAGGCTCGGCCGCTGGCTCCGGGCCCAGCCCCACAGGCGCGTGGCCCAGCCGCCCCGAAAAACAACTAGTGAGGCGGACGGAGCGGAGAACGCGTTTGCGGGCGCGGAAGGAAGACGCCGAAAGCACAACTGCCTAGGCTGCCCGCCGGTGGAGACTGAGGCGGCGCGGCGCGGCGCTCGTGAAGGGCGGGGTCCGTGAAGGGGCGGGGCCTGGGCGAGGGGCGGGACCGAGCGGGGGTGACGTAGGGGAGCCGTGGCCAGTAGCACGTTGCAAAGATCCCACTGTGGGTGACTGGGTGAGCCCTCGGCCGGCCCCTCCCTCGGGATGGCAATCAGTTGCCATCCTTTTTCCCTTTTTCGTCATTATCACTTGTTATTTCTTACCCAATCTAAATCACCCCTGGCCAATGCCTGGGGCTCCTGAGCCCCCCTCCTATGACCTGATCTTCCCACCACCACCTCCGGGAACTTTGTGTTCAACCTGTCCAAACCTTTTTTTTTTTTTTTTTTAATGTGCAAAACTGTGTTTTAAATTTTAAAACTATTTTTAAAAAATGATTTATGGGCTGGGTGTGGTGGCTCATGCCTGCAATCCCAGCACTTTGGGAGGCCGAGACAGGTGGATCACTTGAGGTCAGGAGTTTGAGACCTAGCCTGGCCTACATGATGAAACCCCCGTCTCTACTAAAAATAAAAATAAAAACTTAGCCAGGCATGGTGGTGCATGCCTGTAATCCCAGCTACTTGGGAGGCTGAGGCACTAGAATCTCTTGAACCTGGGAGGCGGAGGTTGCAGTGAGCCAAGATCGTGCCACTGCACTCCATCCAGGGCCATAGAGTGAGAGTCTCAAAAAAAAGCAACAAAACAAAAAACAAATTTACGAATGCCTTGCTTCTCTGTAAGTTGAATTTGAGGTGGCTTACCATAATTCATATCATATAGAAAAATACAGCTGAGCTAATAAAATCAGTACCAAGAAAAGGAAAAGTCAGGCCCAAGATCGGTGTCTCATGCCTGTAATCCCAGCACTTTGGGAGGTAGAGGCAGGCGGATCACCTGAGGTCGGGAGTTCAAGACCAGTCTCACCAACATGAAGAAACCCTGTCTCAACTAAAAATACAAAATTAGTCAGGTGTGGTGGCGCATGACTGTGATCCCAGCTGCTACTCAAGAGGCTGAGGCAGAAGAATCCCTTGAACCTGGCAGGCGGAGTTTGCGGTGAGCCTAGATCACTCCACTGCACTCCAGCCTGGGCAAACAAGAGGGAAACTCCATCTTGTTTCAGAAAAAAAAAAGAGAGAGAGAGACAAAAAAAAAAAATAGTCAGAATAAAATGAAAGGCCAGGAATAAGAACACAGATAAGCAGGTTATAGGGGCTTACACAATTATTAAAATTGGGTCATACATTTGGCTCTGAGCTTCCTGGTGGCCAAAACTAAAAGGAAGAAACATGTATGTGCTTTTCTTACTGTCTCTAAGAAGAAACACAGTGTTCTTGGAGACTCTCAGTGTTTCTCTGGTTCAGCTTTCTGTTTTTCAGGGGCTTTATATAGTGATTTTGAGTAATAAGCAAAATCCTTGTATTCGTTACCTATTGTTGGGTAAAAATCGCCCCAAGTTTAGTGGCTTAATAAACAATAAACTTTGTTTTTCCTCCCAGTTTCAGTGGGCTAGGAATCTAGGTGAGGTTAGCTGTGTCCTCTGGCTCAGGCTTTCAAGGCCCTTACCACTTCCATGTGAAGCTTTATCGCCCTGCACTAAGTCCCTGTCTCCCCACCAGCAGGACAGGGTAGGGGGTGGGAGATGCTCAGAGGACAGTAAGCAAGTCTGATTCATTTGTGTTACCTGAACCTAGTCCAGGGCTAACCTGGCACAAGGAGACCTCAGCAAATAAATTTAACAAATGAACCAACACACACACATGAACAGAAGTGGCCCACAATGAGGCTTAACAGTGGCCTCACAGAGGTCACTTGAAAGTGTTAAAAGCCTTGAAAGCTCAGCTTCAATCACTGCCAGCCAGGGTGTCAGGAAAAAAAATTCAACAGGGGCTGCTATGTGCCATGCATCATCTCAGTTTGTTCATCTGTAAAGTGAGGGCAATAATAGCAATGCCTGCGTCATAGGATTTATGTGAAGTCAAATTGAATTAACAACACCCCAAAGAATTTAGAACAGCTTCTGGTACATAGTATGTGCTCAACAAATGGTTATTATTCTCATCTCAACTCTCATAATATTAGTGTAAAAGGCAAGATATATGTTATATATGATTTGAGTACTAGTGTAATTCTTTTTTTTTGAGAAGGAGTCTCATTCTGTCACCCAGGCTGGAGTGCAGTGGCATGATCTTGGTTCACTGTAACCAAGATCACTGTAACCTCCACCTCCTGGGTTCAAGTGATTCTCCTGCCTCACCCCACTAGTTAGCTGGGATTACAGGCATGCGCCACCACACCTGGCTAATTTTTGTATTTTTAGTAGAGATGGTGTTTCATCATATTGGCCAGGCTGGTCTCGAACTCCTGACCTCAAGTGATCCCAAAGTGCTGGGATTACAGGCACCAGTCATGGTGTCTGGCCTTGTAATTCTACTTAGATGAAGATCTTAAAGCTCAGTGATGTCACTTCCCTGGACTGCTTGACTCTACAGGAGGGGTTGTAAACTTTTCCTGTAAAGGGCCCGATAGCAAATGTTTTAGGCTTTGTGGGCCATAGAGTCCCTATGGCAACTGCGCTGTTGTATGTTGAAAGCAGCCATAGATAAACAGTAAACAAGTGAGGGTGGCTGTATAATCTGAAAGGAAGGCATCATGGTTTCCTGTTATGGGGAAAGAATCGGGCTACAGGGTGCATGGGGTTCCTCTCACATCATCAACCACCACAGACCTCCACATCCTGGGGCTCTCTGCACATCTCAGAGAGCAGAGAGCACAGGGTAGGTGAGGCAGAGAGTACAGGATGGGGTGGGGCAGGGGGAGTAAGGGAGGTGGGAAACAGGGGAAAGTGCTCCTGGCAGGAAACAGCAGTGCAAACTCTGAGACTGAGGGAGAAAGCAGAGGGAGCAAGTGGAGGAGAGGTGAGAGGGAGAGGCGACTTCGGCTTATCTTTGGTTCTGAGCACTGCAGAAGCCATGGAGGATATTTGAGCAAAAGAGGGATACTGATCACCCCTTTATTCATGCAGCAAACAGTTCCTGACACCTCCTTGGAGCTGGCGGCCCTGCGCAGGGCGGTGCAGCAATGCGGCCGAGTCAGACCCGGTCCCTGCCCTCAGTGGGCTCCCTGTTTAATAGAAACCCCGTCTCTATTAAAAATATTAAAAATTAGCCAGGTGTGGTGGTGCGTGCCTGTAATCCCAGCTACTCTGGAGACTGACAGCAGAGGCGGGCAGGGACACTGGCAAGTCAAGACCTGGAGGGATACGTGCCACCGTGGGGCTTAGGAGGGACACAGGGGAGGCCCGAGGTGAGGCTTCTAAGTCAGCACGCTGCATCATGGAATGCTTCCCGAAGGAGGTAATGTTTAAACCGGAAGCTGGAGATGAGTAAGAATGAGCACAGGAAAGGGTGTGATGGGGACAAATGTGCGAGGCAGAGAGAACGGCAGGCACAGAGGCCTGCAGGCTCGGGAGCCCCTGAGTCCCTGCGAGCTTTGCCGCTCCTCCTTGTGCAGGATGGTGGAGGGGTGGCCCACCCTCCATAAAGCACTGGAATTCTGGCGGTGATGGGGTGCTAGGGAGGGTTAGAACCGACAGGGGCAGCTCTGGGTCTCAGAAGGAGGCCTCTAGGGCCCTGTCCAGGAAAGACTGGAGTAGGAGGATTCTGAGCCAGGAGCCCAGGGAAAGGCTGGGACAGAGGTCCGGAATGGATCTGGCAGCCAAAACTGGGGCCATGGCAAGGGTGTCAGGATGGCGAGAACAGACGTGAGGGCTATTTAAGACGTTTTCACCGAGAGCTGGGAACGCTACTCAAAGCTGAGGATGTGTTTCCTAAAAGTGAAGAGCCCTACATTTACTCAAAGGCAGTGTAAATCCAAGACAAGTTTCTCGCAAGCAGACTGAACAAAAATAAAGATGTAGGCCTGGCACACTGGCTCACGCCTCTAATCCCAGCACTTTGGGAGGCTGAGGCGGGCAGGTCACGAGGTCAGGAGTTTGAGACCAGCCTGGCCAACATGGTGAAACCCTGTCTCTATTAAAAATACGAAAAATTAGCCAGGTGTGGTGGTGCGCACCTGTAATCCCAGCTACTCTGGAGACTGAGGCAGGATAATCGCTCGAACCTAGGAGGCAGAGGTTGTGGTGAGCAGAGATCACACCATTGCACTCCAGCCTGGGCAGCAGAGCAAGACTCTGTCTCAAAAAGAAAATAAAACAAAAATAAAGATGTTCGCCACATATGCAGGTGGCCATGGTAAAGGCGGGAGATCCTTTTGCCGAAGGAGTAGGGCTTAGTAAATATGAAGGCCCAGGGCAGGGAGGTGCTGAGGCCGGAGGCCCAAATGAACACAGATGGTCCTTTAGATGAACAGGAGGCCTTAGTCTACACGGGGACAAAGGGACTTTTGCTCTGGCCTAAAGCCTCAGTAAACACAGCCCCTACATAAACACAGCTAAGGGTGGCAGTGGAGCTGTGAAACGCCAGTGTCCCATCCCATCAGGTCAGAAGCATCCCACAGGGATTTGGAGTCCAGTCTCAGAAAGACCAGCTTCCCCCTCTTCCACCTGTGCGCTCTCCCAGGGCTGGGTAATTGGAGAGCGCTGTCAGGTCTGAGGAGGTGGAGACATTGAGTGCAGAGATTCTAGAGAAAAGCTGAGATTCTGAGCAGGCTCTGAGATAATCTTCCTCCTTCAGCAACAAGATAAACAAGGTCCTTGCCCCCGCAAAGCCTCAGTTCTAGTGAGAGACATCTCTTCTTTCCACAGAGGTTTACTGAGCACCTCCTGTGTGCCAGGGCACAGGGGCAGATAAAGCCGGTGAAAATCCCTGCACTGTCAGCATTCACACTCAAGTTGTGGGAGACAGATGAGACAAGACGTAAGAGTAAGAAAGTAAATAAATAAAAGATGAGAGACATCCAACAGTGATAAACACCACAGAGAGGAAAAAAACCAGCCCTAATAATAAACAAGGGAGCAAACACATAAAGCAATTATAGATTAAAATAAGGTGGAGGAA